CTGCAGCCTATGCCGTCGCCAGCGACTCATGGCAGCCCAGCTCCAGGTTGAGCTGTTGTTCAGCATCTTAGCTGTAGAGGGCAGTGTCACTGGCCTTCATATGTGGGAACCGAACCGGGGCCCTCTGGCGTCCCAAGCCAGCTCTTAACCAATGCGCCACTCGGCCGGCCCTGTGTATTACTTTTCAAAGTTGAATTGAATTATGGTAGAATGTGTAGTATGACATTCTCTCAAAAGATGATGTTAATCAAATGAATGCTAGAGTCACCATGTGACAGGCAGGACAAAGAAAATGGCAGAAGCACAGTTGTCATTTGAGGAGTGCAAGACCATTTTGAAGTGGTATTTGAAATTCGAGAACGTTCTCCTGACTTAACACCCCTTGACTTCTACCTGTGAGGGACCTTCAAGGATTTGGTATACTGTAGAAAATAGGCTACACTGGTGGTATTTTGGAAAAAAATTGAAACTGCATATGCAGCGATACAAATGGACACTTTGGTCAACATTGCTCAAGCAGTAGTTCACTGTAATCAGAAGTGTGTGGATGCTGACGGTAACCACTTTGAGCACCTCGTGTAATTGCAGAAGTCAAATGTGACTTGTATTCATCTTTTGTTATTGGTATAAAGTATTACAATTTTAGTGCAGCTTTTTCCTTTCTTAAAATGTGTATACATTTTTAGGCACCCTCTGTATTAGTTTGATCTGCTATGTCTCCCAGTTTGGGCAGAGTGGCCTTATGTAGTAGGTGTCTTGTGGGGCTGTGTGGCACAGTCTCCCAGTTCATCAGAGCCAGGTGCTCCAGATGTCCCTTGTGTGGGTTGTGTGTTCTCTCCTGTTTAGTTGAGCTTTGATTGCTATTAGCATGTCAGTGGGTGGGATTGACCCTCAGGCTTACTGGCTATGAGGATTGGCAGTGACTATAGCAAACAAGCTATTGTACTAGGGCTGACCCCACATAGCAGGATTTGCTCTAGCCAGGCTCTGGTGTCTGCTGAGTCTACCCTTTGGGTGTGTCATTTGTGGTGCTAATTAGTTAGTGTTCTGGTGTGGTCTGAAGCTGGCACCAGGTGTGTTGGTTCTGGGACCTCTTTGGTGGGGCTCTGGTGCAGGCCAAGGTCAGCAGGCCAAGGTCAGCTGCTGCTTGTGCCCAGGCCTGGGGCCAGCTGGTAGGAACTACTAAGTGATCTGCAGTTGGTAGTTGCCTGTGTTGGGTTTGGAGACGCCTGGGAGTGGTTATGCTGTGAACTGAGGCTGGCTGCCACTAGTGTTGGGCTTGTGGCAGCTTAGCAAGAGATACAGGGCACGCTTGAGGCCAGCTTCTTCTTGTTTGGGGTTTGAGAGATTTTAGGCAAGTTTGCAGCATAGTCCTAAGCTGGCCACTTGTGTGGATTAGCCTCTGAAAGAAGTTCCAGCCAGCAGGTGAATTGGGTGGTATGGGGTCTCAGAGAATCACCAGGATGGGTCGAGAGCAGTGTTAGTTAAGTTGATGGAGGCTCACATTTGGCATCCGCCTGCGCCTGCTGGCTGGGTGGAGTTAGGGTTCAACAAAGGAACGGTGGCACTTGCCAGCACTTGAGTCCCGGAAGGAGCTCCCCCTCCAGCCTCACCCTGAAGCCAGACAATGCAGTTCTTCCCCATATGTCCCTGGTGCTTTTCTAGCTGGTGTCCCTTCCCTGGACCTCAGGGTGAGTGTCTGTGCTCTGGCCCTTTAAGAGGACTCCTCGGTCTACAGCAGCTATCCGTCTCACCCAGACTGTATCCCCACTGATTTTCACAACCAGATGTTGTGGGGACTCCTATTCCTGGCACTGATGGTCTGGGCTGGGGAGCCAGGTGTAGGGCTGAAACCCCTTGCTCCTCAGTGGGGACCTGTGGACCAGAGATATCCTTCCAGATTCTTAACTACCCCTTGTTGTGGCTTCTCTATATCCTTAGTTATAGGAGTTCTGTTCATTTAATCTTCAGGTAGTTCTCAAGAGTGGTTGTTCTATCATTTAGTTATAATTTTGATGTGGTCATGGGAGGAAGCCATCAGTGTTTACCTTCTCTACCATCTTGACTGGAAGTCTGTGGTGGCTAATTTGATAGAGAGAACTCAGAATAATGCCTTACTGAAGTTTTTTTTGGGTGGCAAGAGGAGTCAATAAGTTAATTAAAATTCATGTAATAGTACTCTGCTTTTTGGCATCAGATTACTTCTAAAGATTGATGAAATTATTGTAGTTTTAACATTTGAGGTAAAGTTGAAATCATTCAAAATGTCAACATATAAGAAACTATAAAATATAATTTTATATACTGTGAGTCAAAAGGAAATTTTATACCTTGTCTTTCTGGATTACATACAGAAAGCATTTAGAGAGTGGATTATTTTTTTGTAAAATTTTCTTTCAAATGTAAAAAAAAAAAGAAAAAATAAGGGAGAGAATTTTTTGTTAATGCTTCCTCTAGCCTTATAATCTTCCTTTATCCCAGTATTTCTTCCACATCACTTAAAATGTTTTAATAGTGCTTCCTGTTAAGTTTTATTTTCAAGGGAAACTTGTTGGCTGAATATAAATGCTGAATTTCATAAGTGATTTCCACCAGTATTTCTTAAACTTGGCAGTTTGAGTGTCTTTGCTAAAAATAGTATCTGTTGAATATTGGACAAAAGAGCTTATCTAGTCTTTCATCCTATCCTACTGAAACTCAGATCATGTGTTACCAACCTATTTTTTCTAAGCCAAGTGGCACAGAATATGTTATTAACAAATATATTCCAAATATTTGCTTTTTTGGTATTTGAGAAACTGACTGACTTAATAATGTTTGATTTACTATGAGTGGTATAGGAAAAATGTTTTCTTACTAAAACCACATGTTCTTACATTGGACTATTTTTTTCTTCACAGGGAATGCTTTGGTTTTTAAAAAATTAGTCAGAAAGAAAGGAAAAGTCAAGGCCTGTGCCTTGAAATATTTTTTTAAGTTTTAACTAATTTGCAATCTGACATTTAAAAAGTTGATAAAATAATTTGTCTTAGCCATCCAGATAATTACTGTGCAACTTATAAAATAGGTAAAATTATTAGAAAACAACAACCTCCCCCTTTATAAAAAAACAAATACAAAACAAAAACTTAAAGTTCTACATGTGGGGAATAGCTGTGTTTTATCATTCTTTCATGTTTTCATATTTTCATTTACCTAGCACTAGAAAGTTTGGGCTTTGGTTCTTATATCAGTGAAGTAAAAGAAGTCTTACAAGAATGCAAGACTGTAGCATTAAAAAGAAGAAAGGCCAATTCTCGTTTGGAAAACCTTGGCATTCCTGAAGAAGAGTTATTGAGACAGCAACAGGAATTGTTTGCAAAAGTAAGTAATGCATTTTAAATTCTTTTAATCTGAATTCTACCCTGTTTATTAATAGAAATCAGATTAGTTTCTGAAATCATTTCCTAAATCAGTGTATCTCAGAGGATTTTCTTTCTATGGCTGATTATTTTATCATAGAGTTTGATGTTTAGAGATGGCCAGTTTGACTTTGTTTGGCCAGTTATTTCACATAAAAGTAAATATTTGTAGGAACCTGTTTTCTAAGGAGAACAATGCTAAATAACTACTGTGATTTTACTTTGATGTTCTCTCCGACAGAATGACTATTTTAAAAGCATGAAAAGTTTACCTAAACATTCTTATGATTTAAAATGATGAGCTGGTGAGAAAATACTCTTATCAAATTTTATGATGAGTGGTATATAAGAAAATCTGATTAACATCTACTTTGTAGTTAAATTAGATCTGTTTTTTTTTTTTAAGAATTTTTATTGGGGAATTGGGGGGATGGGAACAGTGCTGGGGAATTGGGGGAAGGGGACAGACAAGTTGCTGTCGTTTTGTTCTTCAGTCTAGTTGTGGAGGACGTTGCTTCACTGGCCCAAGTTGGCACCATCATTGCGCTCTTCCTGGGCGAGGCAGATCAGTTGCCAGCTTCTGGACAACCGCTCACTGCGGCTGCTGGCCACTCACACTGGCTGCTGGCTACACACGATAGCCCATGGCAACCTGCTGCCACAGGGGCTGCAGCCTATGCCGTCGCCAGCGACTCACGGCAGCCCAGCTCCAGGTTGAGCTGTTGTTCATCATCTTAGCTGTGGAGGGCAGTGTCACTGGCCCTCATATGTGGAATCCGAACTAGGGTCCTCTGGTGTCCCAAGCCAGTTCTTAACCATCGCGCCACTCGGCTGGCCCTAAATTAGATCTTTAATATACATTTAAAACATTTAATATACATTTAAAATGTAATTTTAATATACATTTAAAATTTTTTGAAGGGCTAGTGAAGCAGCCCTTCTTTTTTTGCTTCTTAACAGTTCTAATACCCTAGCCTGTGAACAATTAGCACCTGAGTACTAATATCCCTCTATTTAAAAAAAACAGGAGGAGAGAATTTGAAGCTGTTTTTTCCCTACTAAGATTTGGCTTCTCAACTAAGATATGCCTCTCAACTAAGTTCTAGCTTCTCATTTGAAATTCTAAGGCAGTTTGGGGTTAAATAGAAGAAGTGAGATTTCCTATCAGTTACTGTAGTTATCAATAGAACTGGGAAGTATCATTTTACATAATCTGATTAGCACCATAATTGATCTCTTTGTAGTCTTAGCAGCCAGTTTGGTTTACATCAAAAAATTTTGAATTTTAAGTGTTATCAGGCACTAGACACCAGATAGCATTCAAACTAGTAAGAAAGTAAAAACAACATTTATTGAGCTCTAACCATGTGTTAATCATGTTGCCAAATAATTTACCTGTGTAATTTCATTTAATCCTTACAACAGCCTATGAGATAAGTACCAAAGAGGATAAGCCTTTGAAGTAGGCGTGAACACATACAGTGTTATAATCAATAAAATATGAGGTCACAAGGAGCAATGATAAAAAAGAAATTAATGACTATCATTGATTCTTTGCTATTGCAAATTAAATATTTGATAATGAAAGGAAAAAGATGCTCTCTCTGCTAGATACTTTACATACTTTGCAGAGTTTTTATGAATAATATTAAGTTTTATTATATCTATTTCACATTAAGAAACAGACTCAGAGATAGAGAAACTTGCATGAGATCATTCACTCATTTGTTCTACAGATAGTTACTAAAGTCCTCACTAGTCACCAGACACAACTATGTGCTTGGCTTACAACAGTATATGAAAGAGACATAGTTTCCTATCATTATAGAGCTTAGTGTACCAGGAAGGATTGAGTTAAATAAAACAGGTAAGTTCATACAGTTAGGAAATTGGAGTCTCAATTCAAACTATCTTCTGATTCCAAAACGTGCTCTTTCTACAGTACCATGCTAAGGCTCTAGCCACCATTTTGTGTACTTAAATTTATTTTGGAACTTTTAAGTGGAACATTCTTTATCCTTTCCGGGGCAAAAAGATGAATGAAACAAATAATTGACTGCCTGCCAAATCTGTCTTTTACCTCTCTCCCCTTGTCATCTGTTTTTTATTACTTCTCCCTTATCACCCTTTTTTCTTGCCCTGACCTATGGGTGAAGAGTCTTTGCTCTAGTAGGAAAATGAGCAGAGAGGTAAAATCGTAGTAGCTGCCTAGTACTTCTTCCCTAGAGTACAAAGTACTTAATTAAGTCCTAAATGTAAAAGGAACTGATAAGTAAATATAACATCTTTTTCATCACTTTCATTTTACTTCATATTTGAGACTTTATTTTAAATGCTAACACAATAGCAGCCTCATTTGAAGCTGTCTTTCACTGCTAGTAGCAAATATTTGGAAAGGGGGAAACATTAAAAATAGAGATTAAAGTTAACTATAAATTATACATGAGTCAGTATGTGGGAGTGAGAATATTAAGACATAATGAAAATATCCAAAAGAAGAAATGAATTAGGTAGTATATGTCCACTTATCTCTCTTTCACACTTGCATTTTAGAAGGAAGCTCCTTAGAATGGTTTGGGTAAGAGGCAAGAGGGCAAAAGGAAATTAGAATAGATACCACTGGAATTTTTAATTTGTACAAGTTAATACAAATACAGTTCATCAATTAACAATGATTTTAAAGCCATAGGAATGCTTTTACATTCAGAGAGAAAAGTATGGGAGCTGGTTGAGACCATGGTATCTAAAAGTCAGTTAAATTTTAAATATAACCAGTACATGTCTTTGCAGATCATTGAATAAACTGTGATATCAAGCACAGTTGTAATAAAATGTGTATACAGACTTGAAATTATTTGAATTTTTTTCTGTGCTACAAAATTGTACCTGTCTATAGTTAATTAGGCCACAGAGTAGGTATTCTTTTTTTATTTTGGTTTTTTTTTTAGCTGAGCCATCCTGCCACCTGTTTGGCAGCTCAGCAGCAGCTCAGCTCGAGAATTGAACCAGCGACCCTGTTGCTCTTAACCAGCTGAGCAACTTGGCCAGCCCCAGAGTAGGTATTCTTAAGTTGACATACATGTTTTGCCCTACAAGCTTCTTACGAATTCTTAAAATGTTTTTTGTGAAGCACTCTTAGTCTATTTTAAACTCTGGGTATTCCTGCCATAATAGTAAATATACCTGTGTGTTAGAATAACTATTTTCCATATTTCTTTATAAAAATGGGGGAAAGTAGTTATTAGAGGGAATACCTGCTTTGTCATTTCCTAAACAAAAAAAGTTTTTGTAGGGGAGATATAATATAGATACACTTAACAACTATAATATGAGGCTGATGACTTTTATGAGGAAGATATGAAGAGATGTGAAGTGCAGAGACATCACATGCAGTTTGGGTGATACAGGAATGTGCCAATTACTAAGTAGTTGTTTTAGACTGAAACCCTCCTTTCTATGCTCTGATTTGTGGCAGGGCCTAGTACTCTACAAACCACACTCCCACTTTTTCTAGTTGACTACTGTTAGACTGTTGCCAGTAGGGGGCTCCAGAGGGAGATTGCCAGGCTGGAGGAGGCACTTGCTTGGGTTTCTTTTCTTCCTTNTTTTGTTCTTCAGTCTAGTTGTGGAGGACGTTGCTTCACTGGCCCAAGTTGGCACCATCATTGCGCTCTTCCTGGGCGAGGCAGATCAGTCGCGGCTTCTGGACAGCCGCTCATTGCGGCTGTTGTTCTGCTCATGCTGGCTGCTGGCTACACACGGTAGCCCATGGCAACCCACTGCAGGAGGGGCTGCAGCCTATGCCATTGCCAGCAACTCAGGGCAGCCCAGCTCCAGGTTGAGCTGTTGTTCATCATCTTAGCTGTAGAGGACAATGTCACTGGCCCTCATATGTGGGATCCGAACCGGGGCCCTCAGGCGTCCCAAGCCAGCTCTTAACCAGTGCGCCACTCGGCCGGCCCTCCATCCAATCTTATTGAAAATACACTACTATGCTTTTCCCTTTAAAAAACAAAAAAAGAGAAATGTTGGCTTCTAGCATTGACACTTAAAAAATAACTTCAATTCAAGTTAAAAAATGCAGGCTACCTAATTTTCACCTAATTTTCCACTATACCCCAAGCTCCTTGAGGCCAAGAATTATGTGGTGGTTAACTTTTTTCCAATAAAAATCACAACAGACTTTATTTGGAGAATAATAAGTTGATTGCAATATTTATGTAAAAGGCCAGAAGTCCAAGAAAAGCCCAGTTACTGCTAAAGGACAAATTGGATATGTCTTATGAAATGCTAAGTTAATTATAAAGTTATAATTATTATGAAAGGCTATTTTAATTATAAACTTGTAATTATATCATTGTGGTATAGGGTAAGACAAACATACGTATGACTAGAATAGACTAGAACACTAAAAAAAAACACCTCCCATTCAGATATGACAACTTGATTTATGTCAGCATTATAAATCAGTGGGGAGGATGGCTTCTTTAATATACTGTGCTGCTATAAGGGATTATCCCAATGGATAAAAAATGGAATTGAACATCTATATCACACCATATTAACAAATCCATCCCCAAGTGATTATATAATAAACAGAAAGGACAAATTTTCCAGAGGCAGAAGAAGGCTACATGAGTACATAGTTAATTTCTCTAAGGAAAGTATTTTCAAGTTAAAGATCATTCTGTTAGATGACCTGGAAGTTAAGACAGTGCCTCAGGCTAGTGATATATTCAGGTAGGCAACTCAGGTAGAAAAGAAAATAGAACCATAAACAACTCAGATCCAGGAAAACATAAAACTCAGGAGGAAAATGTTAACCCTAGTATTGGCCTATGGCAGCGGTTCTCAACCTTCCTAATGCCGCGACCCCTTAATACAGTTCCTCATGTTGTGGTGACCCCCAATCATAAAATTATTTTCTTTGCTACTCTATAACTGTAATTTTGCTACTGTTAC